AGGGAGATAAAACTTTCACACTTCACTGGTGCTACCTCTTGCCAAAAAACTTATCTGAAAGAAACTGTTCCTGCTTTCCTTCAATATAAAATTAACTTTTCTACAGAGAGAACATCCTACTCTATTTTAAGTGAATATTCCATCTATTAATTGCATCTTAGCAAAATATTAGCTATGGTTTTCTGCAAAGGTACTGAAATAGTTTATCTTATTTTCCATTTGTAGTTAAGTCTTGTTTGACATGAGTTTAGCTAACATGATGCTTGCCATCTTTTGGTCAGAAACAGATAACTTATGGCTTAGATCAGGCTCTCTTTGCAGCTTTAAAAAGAAAAAACCTTGGAAGCATTATGCAGGAACTCGCATCCGAGATACTTTATCTGGACCTTTATATCCAAAAACCTAATCTTGGGTGTGGAAAATTTGAAGGGACAGTGCAAGTTTTCAGAAGGAAAGCTAGATTTACTCAATTTTCAGATATGACTTATGAGCCTAGGTCATAATTTCAAGAGAAACTGAGGCCCCTGCCAGATGTGCAGGTAAAGGTGCAATGGGATCTGATGTGTGAGCCCACTCAGTCACATCTTCTGCCATGCACATATGGATATTGTGGGACTGCTCATCAAATCCTACCATGCCTTATTGCTGGTGCAGGGGGAGCCCAGGATCATGATCACAGGCTCCCCCTGTACCAGAAAGTAGCAAGCTCCTGTGGCTGAGTGCCCCCTCAGCTGATGAAGCTCACAGCCACTGGGAGCTGGCAGATGACAGGACTCCTAGCTGTAAGGGCTCACCATATGCTCCCATAGCTGGGAATCCCGCCAGATGATCCAAGCTCCCTGCTGAGGGGACACACCTGACAACATGTTCAATTAATGTTCCAAGTCCCCAGAAGCACCACAAGGTCAGGTTTTTCCACACACTTTAAAAACAAGCCTTTGCAGATGCAACTGTAAGGCCCACATTTTGATGAATCCAGCCCCAAGACATTCTCTATGGACTTTAAAAGGCACCAGGAACAAAGTTCTATTTATAGGGTCAACAAAACTATTTAACAGCGACAGCAGCCAGTGTTAGTGGGGTAATATAACAGCAGTAGCTTAAACGATTAGTTCTAGTTTTCCAATTGCATTGATCTTCAATGAAGCAGCACTTACATTTACGGCGCACTTAGTCTAAATGACTAAAGATATTTGAAGGCAAACATAGCTGTTGTATATTAGTAACATAATTTTTAGATTATGGAAAGCACTGAAATTTACATGTTTCTCTAGCTTTTTCAGTCAGTTTAGTATATTAGATGTGATAAGTAATGAATTCAATAACCATGATATATTAAAAAGGGTGCTAAAAAGTGCATTATGATTTGTAGGATTACGCTGATTTTGTATCAATATTTTTGGGTACACAGAGACAAAAATATAAGAGGAGAATCCATCCACATCGTGGAGAACATTCACAGGACCTTACACATTGAAAATGAAAATCCTTCAAAACCCAGATTCTCATCTATGGACACGTATTATACAAAGTCTCCCTCTTATTTTGGTTTTAAATATCAGATGCATACATGTAAAAATTTAATATTTTAAAGTACCTTATACGTATCCACATAACGATCTTCCTTTTCTTTAGACTGTACAGCAATAGGTTTGACTAAGTTTCTGAAACAGAAACAAAATGAAGAAATGGTAGGATGTCATTAGCAAATTCAGTTAGATACAAATTAACCATCATGGAAAACTAATACTTTTAGGTTAAAAGCCTAAAAGGACTAAGGCAAATCCTAAGAAAAAAAATACAGTAAAAGCTCTGTTATCTGGCATCTCCCAGGCATGGGGGATGCTGGTTAATCAAATATTCCAGTTAATCAAATGTGCACTGTCTGGTGCACTCCCTGGTGTCAGTGTTCCAGGGGACAGGGAAGGGAGCCCTGTGCAGGCTGCTTTGTCCTGGGCCGTGGGCTGAAGAAGTGGCAAGAACTCTGCTTGCAGCAGCAGCGAAACCTGGAAGTGGTACTTTCAGTTTTGCTTTTGCTGCATCCCTCGGATGCCGGTTAATAGAGAGTTTCCCAACTAATAAAGTGCCAGTTAACACAGCTTTTGCTGTATTACAAACAGATTAGGGAAATAAGTATTTATGTGAGGTTAGGGGTAATGACAAACTCATTTGTACACAGACTATGGAAAATGGTCTTCTGGAATGGGCAGCATGAACTTCATCATGTGTCCATGCCAATGCACCTCACTCCCAATTTGATGCAGCACCTTTTTAGATTAAGGT